TAATTTACTTTTTGTCGAAATTGTATTTGGTTTTGCGATCTCTGTAGTTAGCCAAGTGATTTATTTACCAATTTCCCTTATATTTGATACGATGGTGTTTTTTTGGGACATGCTTCGTTAATACGTATACACGCTACTATCGTTAACCGCTATATCTTTATTGAAAAATCATATACGAATTTTACTAATTAATGCAATGGCGTATACTTGGGGTTTATGTTAACGATTGATGAGTTCTAATATTTGAGCTGTTATTTCTTGTTGGAACGGGGTTAATCGGTAGAAGTGAGGCTGCATTTTTACTATAATATCTCATTTGATTTTTTATGTACAGTGGGTTCATCGCTCACACCTTAATTTTCATATTTTTATATGTACAGTTGAAATTAATATAAGTTTCATTTAAAAAATCTAAATATTACTGTTGTGGACAAAAAATAATAATAATGATAATGATAATGGTAGGAGAGTCTTAAAGGGTATAATTGCATCTGCACTTTCATTCTTACGTTGTTGCTGTTTACGCAAACTTCGATAGATTTGCAATCTTATCACTTCAATTCGCCTTGTTTTTTAATTGGTTGTAAACTGAGTACAAACTTTTATGGGAGAAAGGTCAATTACGCAAAAATTTTAAATGATGGAACACCAAATTGAAATGAATACAAACAAATAAGGAATAGAAGCCCAATATTAAAAATGGGCCCTAAGCCCAATTGAAATGTATGCTGGGCTGGACATATTAAAAGAATCCCACCCCATGTCCAGTGCTTAACCTTCCCTATCTCTCTGTATTTCATATCGAACAGCTCGGACACCTATATATATATATATGACGTGCGGCTAGGGTTTCTGTTGTGTCGCCTCTGCCGATTCGAATGCTCCATTGACGGAGACGCTCTAGAGTGGACAGAAACCGCAGATCTTCGCATTCACTACCACCATGGTCAGTCTACTGCTCCTCGACTTCGACTTGTTTTCATCTTCAGCATTTTCCTTGTTATAATTTACTTTTTGTCGAAATTGTATTTGGTTTTGCGATCTCTGTAGTTAGCCAAGTGATTTATTTACCAATTTCCCTTATATTTGATACGATGGTGTTTTTTTTGGGACATGCTTCGTTAATACGTATACACGCTACTATCGTTAACCGCTATATCTTTATTGAAAAATCATATACGAATTTTACTAATTAATGCAATGGCGTATACTTGGGGTTTATGTTAACGATTGTTGATGAGTTCTAATATTTGAGCTGTTATTTCTTGTTGGAACGGGGTTAATCGGTAGAAGTGAGGCTGCATTTTTACTATAATATCTCATTTGATTTTTTATGTACAGTGGGTTCATCGCTCACACCTTAATTTTCATATTTTTATATGTACAGTTGAAATTAATATAAGTTTCATTTAAAAAATCTAAATATTACTGTTGTGGACAAAAAAATAATAATCATAATGATAATGGTAGGAGAGTCTTAAAGGGTATAATTGCATCTGCACTTTCATTCTTACGTTGTTGCTGTTTACGCAAACTTCGATAGATTTGCAATCTTATCACTTCAATTCGCCTTGTTTTTTAATTGTTGTTGTTGTACTCTGTTTTAAATGTGTTTGTTGGATTTTGGTGTGTCAACTCAGTTGCTCAATGGCTTAACGTCTTTAATAATTATTTGGTTATTTTTTTAAATCTTTTATTTTTTCAATACTTTACGGTGCCAGCATGTATCATCTTTGGTTATCCGGGTGGAATTGAAGTATATGCAAGAGTGGTTAAGTGCTTTTATTAATCATCATATCTAGGTAAATGCTGCTGCTAATTTTGTTAAGATTTTGAATGGTGATTCGTGAGTGTAACGTGTCCGTGCGACTTAGGGTGCGAAGGATTATACAACGGAAATCCAGAAGCAACTTACTTCAATTGATACAGGATAATGGAACTCGGCTGCGCCGCGCCCTCAGGGCTTAAATCTTTCTGAACAAAATGTTTATTCTCTTTTTATGTGTAAACAAGCATTTATTCTAAAGATCCTGAAGTTTGAAAAACTGTCATCATTTGTTGGGTAAAACATGCACTGGTGAGGATGAGTTGGGTATACTATGTGACTTGTTGCCAATGCTGTGTGATTGACATTTGTTGCTTATCAAATCTAGAAGCATCTTTTGTACTTTGTTTATGAATATTCAAATTTTAAATTCTAAAATTACTTTCCCACTTATCGGCCTTGTAGGGCTCTTGAGTTGGTTCTACTAGGAACACTTTTGATGATAATTTTTCTTATTGCAGTCCGCCAATGGAAGAAGATACCCCTGTAAGTTCTGTTCCTTTTACTTATACATATATATACATATTTTTTTAATCTTCTTGCAGAGTTTCTACTTGTCCTAGTTCTAAATTCCATATGTATCATGGCATTTCCAATTGATCTCTTCACTATGCAGTAGTCAAGTAGTCAAGTGTATCATTAACATATTCTAGGTTCTATGTTAACAAATATATTGATTTTCAGTGTTTGTTAAAATTGACTCTTAACCAAGTACACCCTCTAATTCACAACCTTACCAAAAAGGGGTTCATTAATAACTACTTAATTGACTATTAACCAAATAACTTGTTCTTTTTTTTTAAAATATAATTATATATTTTAATTATATATAAAATTTTATATTTTATAACTTTTTAAATTTTAATTAAATTATTTAATTATTTTAATTTTAATTTATAATTATTTTTACCATATAATAATTATTTTTTTAATATATTTCTTAATTACTTATTAATCTAACACGCTCAATTATCTAGGACGCTGGCAGCATTATTTAATTTATAGAACAATTAATTTAGATTAAGCTTTACGCATTGGGAATGCGAATATTAAATATTTAATAGCACCAACAATAGTTTCACCATAAATGATTATTATTACAATAAAACACTTTTACAAAATTCAATTTAAAGCTCTAATGTTATTTTTATTAGATTGGATCAATTTGGCCCAATTGATTTGGTATTGGGCCTGTCTGGAGCCCAAAATATGGTTTAAGAAGCGTAAATCTAAGAGGAGTATGGCCAGCGAATTATTTTGAACTTATTGTTTCAATAACAGAAACCCTAGGCTCTGCTCTGTCGTCGTTTCCTACTGCGAGGGCGTCTGCTGTTGATTTCTCAGGAGCTTCGATTAGATTGAGATTTCAAGCTACGGAATTGTAGTTCTTCTATAGGAAGATGCCTCGCTTTCGGAATGTAAGTGTGAAGTTGTTAACGAGAGTGCATGTTTTCTCATTGTTTTGTATTTTGTCTGTTGCAAGTTGAGTAATGGGATTCGTTTTTTCGGTTTCCTGTTTTCTGAATTGTTTGTTGATGCAGAAGAAGAGAAAACCGTTTGTTAAACCGACTATAAAGAAACAACCGACCGTAGACCATGTAACCGGGGACAAGATCCCGAAGAGTTTTGTGTTTTCTCGGGGAAAGTTACCCGACGTTCTTCGAAAATTGCAGATGGATTTAAGAAAATTGATGCTTCCATTCACGGCTCTCAACCTCAAGGTGAGTATTTGTCGCGTGCTTTCTTTCTTTCTCCTCTTCTTCTTCTTTTAATTGTTTGTTTCTCTGGACTGTATTGCTCTCCACATGATTCAATTGATATTAAGAACTTACTATAAATTTGGATTGTTTACCAGTCCTCAGTTGACGCATCTACTTAGATTTAGATTGTGCATTAACCTTTCCCAATGCCTGAATTTGCTTTTATTTGTAGGAAAAAAAGAGGAACAATCTCAAAGATTTTTTGAACGTGGCAGGCCCAATGGGTGTTACACACTTCCTGATTTTATCGAAAACTGATTCTGCGCCGTACTTGAGGGTTGGTAGAACACCACAGGGCCCAACTCTAACCTTCAAAATTCTTGAGTATTCGTTGGTTGCTGATGTTGTCAAGTCTCAATTGCGTCCGAGAAGTCATAAAGATCTTTTTGATAACCCGCCTTTGGTAATGGTTGGTTTATGCCTTCTTCAAATTCTGAGTGTTTTACAAATGTTTGGATTGGCTTTAGCTGCTGCAACTATTCTCTTTAATGCGTTGTTTTAGCCACTTTAATTATTACACTAAATATGAATGCTGAAGTTTGTGAGTTAATTTGTAGATTGTCCTTTCTGGTTTCGGGACTGGGGAGCAGCATCTTAGGCTTACAACTATAATGTTTCAGAACATGTTTCCTGCCATTGATATAAACACTGTAAGTCTTGAAACCTAGCGTCAGGAGCTTTGCATGCCTAGTGGACCGCATCATATTGTTGGACTTTTTCAGGTCAAGCTTTCTTCATGCCAAAGAATTGTGCTGCTAAATTACAACAAAGACACCAAACATATAGATTTCCGGCACTATTCAATCAGATTACAACCGTTTGGGGTGTCACGACGAATAAGAAAATTTGTACAGAGCCATCTGGCCCCTGATTTGAGAACTCTTCAGGATGTCAATGATTATTTAACAAAGTACTCTCTCTAAGCCCTGAGCTCTTTACATTCACACTTGCATGCACCTTAATATTTTGCATAAGAATCACTGGGTCATGGGAGCTATAGTTTTTCATTTTGTTCTGATATCTTTTATCCATGAGACATTATATTGGAAGCCTGTATTACAACCGGTGTATTTCTTGATTAACCTCCATCCTCTCCTGTTTCCAATGAACTAAAACGTAAAATTGTTTATGGAGTTACGATATGCAATCAAGTAGATGTTGAGGTTATTAGTCATGAGCTTGTATTGCTAGCATGTAATTCTCTTCTTAGGCTATCATAAGTAAGGTAGATGTAGTTGGCAAGTCTTTCGGGCCTTAGTATCTTATGAGTCTAATGCTTCTTATCATTCCTATCGGTATGTTCCATTATGTTCCTAATGTTTTGGTGGCTTCCATAATTTCATATTTTAGGGCTGGTTATGGATCAGAAAGTGAAGTGGACGACGAAGCAGCAACTGTAAGTCTACCAATGGATCTTGGAAGAGTTAATAAGGCATCAAGTAAGAGTGCTGTCAAACTTCAAGAAGTTGGACCTAGAATGACACTTCAGTTGGTAAAAGTTGAGGAAGGATTGTGTTGTGGAGGAATCATATTCGATGCATTCGGTAAATACAGTTTTTGCTTTGGCTTAGTTAAAATTCAATTTTTTGAAAGACTAGTTCCTGATTTCTGTGGATGCATGTTTGGATGACAGGTATAATCTGCTACTAGCAATTATTATTGTACTTGTTGTGTTAGCTAAATAATCTCACCCGACCCAACTCCATTTAGCAAACAATTAAACATGCCCCTGTGTGTTTATTCGTGCCCTCGTTATAAATGAAAATGTACTAGAAGCCTAGATGGTTCCCTTGGTGTTATAGCTTACCAAGTTTCCCACCCATATCCAGTTTCGTTTTCAGTTTAATTGTTTGCATCACACATTATGTCTCAGTTATTCATCTCAGTTTTACGGATGTATTTGCATTAAATGAACTCCATTTCACGCACTTTCATCTTATTTTAATTTAGGAAATAATGCACCGAGCAAGAACAAGAAATCGGACGAGAACGACGAAGAAGGAGGTGATGGTCGTGAAGAAACAGATCAAGACGAGGAACTAAGTGATGGTAGCGAAGGCAGGGATGAAGATAACGATGAATAGGTGTGAGAAGATTAAGATTAGTGTGTTATAAAGGTAATTGTTGTTAGCTTGCTTTGCCATGCATTGTAAACGGATGACTATCTTTCCTGACTCCTATTATTTTAAATTTAAAATGGCATAATTGGGCTTATGATAGTCTCTGAGAAACGTAGGGCTGTCCATCGTAGGTTATTAATTATTCATATATAGAAGCTGAAAAAACTTGGGCCGGGAAGCAAATTATTTTTGTCATAATATAATCAAAATTCATTAACTTTGGTCTCAATATAAAAATTCTATCAATTTTGGTTTTAATATAATCAAAATTATTATTTGTTGTCTCAATATAACTAAAATTTATCATTTTTGTTTCAATATAAATTTTTTATCAATTTTAGTTTCAATATAATCAAAATTCATTATTTTTTCTTAGACGTGGACTTGTAAGATTGTGCAATTTCTTCATAAAGTTTGGAGCAGACAACAGTTCAACTTGTTGCAAGTCTTCTTGCATATTCGTATCCGATTTGTTGACGGTGTGACAAAAAAAAAAAAGGTTTGATTATATTATGACTAAAAATGATAAGTTTTGATTATTGAGACTAAAATTGATAAAAAAAATTTATATTTGGACAAAAAATGATGAGTTTTGGTTATATTGAGACTAAATTAATAAGATTTTTATATTTGAATCAAAATTAATAAATTTTGGTTATACGAGGACCAAAAATGATTTTTTTTCCCAAAAAAAGTCATTGATAATTCTACAGATTTTTTTTTTGCCCCCATTTAATTTCCTAGTAATATTTGGTAAGTTTTTATTTTTATTTGGTAAGTTAAGATTTAGTTGATTAGTGATGACAATGAAGAATGAGTTGTATTGGCGAGTTGGTTCAAATTTTTATTTTATAAGTATATATATAGATCCATTTTTGTGTCATGGTAGCAACATAATAATTTCAAATTTCACTAAAAAAAAAAAAGTTCATATATACTAAGAAATTCTCATTTATACTTCTCTCAACGTTTTACATTCCTATTTTTTATTTATTTTTATTCCATATAATTTATTTTTTCATTTTTTAGAAAATAATAATTGCATTTTAAATTTTATAATTTATAATTTGTTAAATCTTAATTAAGTTTTTTTATTAGTTATTTTAATTTTAACCTATAGTTATTTGTATTATACATTAACTATTTTATATATATTCCCTCCGTCCCATTGAAAGGTTATCATTTTCCATTTTCATCCGTCCCATAACAAGGTTACTATTTCCTAATTTAGTAATTGTATTACCTACCTAATATAATAAATATATCCTTTCAACTTACATTATATTACACAAATGACATTACTTTTATATTATACAATATTAATAGGAGTATTTTCGTCTTTTTCATTACAAACCATTATAATACTAATATTAACAAATTTACATACAAAAAGTAAACGACAATCTTGCACCGGGACGGAGGGAATATATATTTTTAATTATTTGTTAATTATACCATTGCCTAAATTCACGTATTTAGAAAACCAAACAATTAAAATGAGATAAAAGAGAGTATTATTTATTGACCAATTTCCAATCAACCTTATGATTAAAAGTTTAAAATGCATAACTAAACTTGTAAAATTTAAGCGTCGTGTATTTGTTTTGTATTTTGGTTTAAATTTTTCTTTTTTTTTTTTTTTAATGTGGGATATAAGAAATTATGCAAATAATATAAAAATAATAACAATATGTACTATATTAATTTATTTTATTTTTTTAAAAAAATATGTTAGATTTGTTTTGAGTAAAAGAATATATACTGTTAATGCTTTGTTCTTCTGCATTTTTTAATGTTTGTATGCTAATAAAATAAATACTAAATTGCATAATATATCATTGTATTTTAGTATAAATGCATAAAATATTTTGTTATAAATATGCACTTAATTATGCAAATTTTATACAAATAAAAAAAATAAAACATCTTAAATAGTCTTATTTGAATAAAACTAATAATTTATCAACCACCAATATATAAAATTATACTCCCATCATCCCATATACGAAAGTATGCATTTGAGTTTTTATATTGATTGAGAAATAATACCGCTCCTCCCGTCTATCTCTAAATGTCACATTTACCTTTTGCGTAATTGTACTTAACATTAAAAATATTCTTATATTTATATAATTTTTATTTTGTACAAATGTCATTCTATTAGTATTATAAGACACTAATGAAAGTATTTTTGCAATTTCTTCTTAATTTGTACTATGTTTTGATATAATAATTAATATTTAAAGAGCAACACAAAAAAAGTAAATGAGACCCTTAGAGCCGAACAAATGTAGTATTATTTTATTGATAATGTCTACGAAATCTTGACATTTTTGTCCTAAACACTTCTGTACTTTATATATATATATATATATATGTAATTATGTTTTTAATTTATACAAAAATTAATATTTTATCCTTCATAATTTAAATATCATTTTTACTATTTTCATATGTTCCACTCAAAAGTACATATTTTTATTTTTAGTAAAAATAATTATACACTAATACCAAAATACCCGTAACTTTTATCTAAATTACAAACATAGCATTACACATACAATTACTTTATACAGTCAAAAGCAAACATGTTAAAATCTCTTACATACTTTTAATAATCAATAAAATACTATTATTTCTTAATTTACTATAAAACCCGTTTGTTTAGTTCAAATGAGGGAAGGGGAGTGGAGGGATTTTAATGGAAGGGATGGGAGGAGAAGTGAGGGGAAATAATACTATTAAAATTGTAATAGTGCGCGTTTGGTTCATAGAAGGAAATGGAGGCGAGACGAGGGAAAATACTATTCTTGTGTTTGGTTAAACAGCGGAGGAAAGAGAAAATATAATAATTTTACTATTTTGTCCCTATATTATTTAAATAAAGAATATTTAATAAAATTCGATTAATTTATTCATAAAATATGATACAAAATTATTTGTCCAATATAATAAAAACAAAGTTACATTATTAGGTATTAGAGGAACCAAATACTATATACATTATATATTTATTAAACTTACCAATAAAGATAGACAATATTTTACGTATAAATAATAACAATGTAACCAAAATTATATAAACTAAGTATACTATAAAAATATTACAAAATATACTTAAACTGGGTTACTTTGATTCATTTTAATCATAAAGTAAATATTTATTGAAATCAAAATACATATAAATAATAACTTTCCGTCTTGAGGACTTCCCGACCTAAGGACTTCCGTCCTGACCATTTCCCGTCTTGAGGACGTCCCGACCTGACCACTTCCCGTCTTGAGGACTTCGGGACCTGACCACTTTCCGTCTTGAGGACTTCCCGACCTGACCACTCTCCGTCTTGAGGACTTCCCGACCAGATGACGTCCCGACCTGAGGATTTCCGGACCTGACCACTTTCCGTCTTGAGGACTTCCCGACCTAAGGACTTCCCGTCCTGACCACTTTCCGTCTTGAGGACGTCCCGACCTGACAACTTTCCGTCTTGAGGAAATCCCGACCTGACCACTTTCCGTCTGGAGGAAATCCCGACCTGAGGACTTCCCGACCTGACCACTTTCCGTCTTGAGAACCTCCCTACCTGAGGACTTCCCGACCTAAGGACTTCCCGTCCTGACCACTTTCCGTCTTGAGGACCTCCCTACCTGAGGACTTCCCGACCTAAGGACTTCCCGTCCTGACCACTTTCCGTCTTGAGGACCTCCCGACCTGGCCACTTTCCGTCTTGAGGACCTCCCGACCTGAGGACATCCCGACCTGAGCGCAAATTTTTCTACTTTTCTGCCCGACTTCGGGTCCTACCTTCGTTCAAGACCCTGCTATCCTTATTTTTATTATTATTATTATTTTTTGTGCGTAACAATTATCAAAGTTGAAATATCCTTGTTATTTTTTACATTTCAAAACCTCATAAAGAGATGCAGGGTCACCCTTCTTATCTCAAACATTTCAACTACATTCTCCTCTATTTTATTTTTTATTGGTGTTGATGCAATTTTTCAACAATAAAAAGTAAAATCTGAAAATAAAGTGTTGATGTATTTTTTCGACAGACAAAAAGTAAAATTCAAAGATATGGAAAATATCCTTAAATTTGATTATTTAGCGCATGAGATTAGGAATCTCTAATTCCTCCTTTATTGACACGTGCCTTGCACCGTCGCGCCAGATGCTTCCATCAGTTCCCGAACTCAACTTGCCCGACCGACCATTCCAGAGACCAATTGCTAGACCAGCCGACCTTCTTTATCCGACCTGCTGACCATCAAACCTGTATGTCCTACCTGCTGACATTCAGACCTGCAGACTTCCCGACCTGATCACTTTTCGTCTTGACGACCTCCCTACCTGAGGACTTCCCGTCCTGACCACTTTCCGTCTTGAGGACGTCCCGACCTGAGGACTTCCCGACCTGACCACTTTCCGTCTTGAGGACTTCCCGACCTGAGCGCAAATGTTTCTACTTTTCTGCCCGACTTCAGGTCCTACCTTCGTTCAAGACCCTGCTACCATTATTTTTATTATATTATTATTTTTGTACGTAACACCTTAAATTTATTTTTTTAGCGTCTGAAAAGTCTATCCTGTCCTTCATTTCCAAAATAACAATTTCCCCTGGAACTGTGGTCGCCTCTGCATTTTTTGGTCGCCTCCCAATTTCTCCTAACCCTTATAGGTCTATTGGCTATGCCTTAGCCAGATTAACCCCGAACTCTTCCTGTCTAAAATCCTCCGACTCTATAATAACCCAAATTTTGACCGAAGATCGGAACAATTCCCGTTTTTTTGTATATACAACCTTAATACAATATTCGACCGATCTTTTCTTCCTTTATCCCGACCCTACCTATCTTTAATAACTCGGCCAGATCCTCTCCCTCACCCGACCTTTATTTTTTCCTGGGACGCCGCAATAAAACCCCGATCTTTGTTTTCTAGCAGAAGGTCGGATAAGAAGAATCGTAGAACACTTTTCACTTACAATTACCAACCTCAATTTTTGTCGAGGCAATTTGGTTGCTGCCAGGGCATACCAGGGCCATTAGCCAGTCCTCACCTCATATTTCAAAGCCCCGAGGGTCTGGTGATTCCCGAACTCATCCCGACCTATATTTCTCAACTCACCACCTACATCACCTCGAATTCATATCTCCCGTTCTGCCCAAAATCTTCGACAACCGAAGATTTCCCTTCCTGGTGGTCGACCACCTGGTCTTTACTTGCCCCTTCGACTGACCAATTGGTCGGGAGACTTGCTCCACCCCCAGCTCTGGCTCTTGGCTCCGCCCGACTGGCAGTCATAGGAAGGAAAAGGCCAGCCCCTACGGCAGGTGGGTCGGGAGCAAAAAGACAAAAAGCAAAGGCCACTCCTGCTATCGATAGAGGCAGGCCATCGAGGAATATCTGGCTTCTCTGCCAATAGATACTAGCGGGATGCCAAAGTATCTAAGGGCAACAATTTGGTAAGTTTTTGTTCCTTTCCTTATGTTATTTTCATGCATGCTGCCCGTTTGTAACTCTAATATGTCTATTTCAGAAGATCCTTCAATGCTCCTGACCACTGGCCCTACCACGTCTCAACCGACCCACCAACAATCGCCCGAACCACAAGTTCCCATCAATTTATCTTCATCCCGATCGACAGCCGTCCCGATCATAGAACAATCATCTATGGTCCGGACCACCGATCGACTGGCCATAGTCCCGATTACCACACAACCGACCCACTGACAATCAGAGGTGAAAGATAGTTTCTGACATTCCTTAGAGACCAACAAAACAAAATATATTAATTTTAAACAACAACTTCGAACCTTTTATTGTAGGCACACCGACCAGGCGAATCGATGGGCAGGGTACCTCCTCCCCCAACGTCGGATATCGTTGCGGTGATGCCCGACCAACTTGTTGTCCTCCCCGACCAGGCTCCTATTGAAGATGTGGTAGTGCCCGACCCCGACCAGGTCGTGGCTTTACCCGACCCGCTTGTTCAGCAAGTTGATGAGGTTCCTATTGTTGGTCCCGAACCAGTCCAACCCGAACCAGTCCAACCACCCGATGAAGTAGAGGAAATTTCCTCCTCAAGATCGGGTGAAGCTCTGTTAATTTATAGAACAATTAATTTAAGATTAAGCTTTACGCATTGGGAATGCGAATATTAAATATTTAATAGCACCAACCATATTTTCACCATAAATGATTATTAATTACAATAAAACAGTACAAAATTCAATTTAAAGCTCTAATGTTATTTTTATTGGATTGGATCAATTTGGCCCAATTGCTTTGGTATTGGGCCTGTCTGGAGCCCAAAATATGGTTTAAGAAGCGTAAATCTAAGAGGAGTATGGCCGCCGAATTATTTTGAACTTATTGTTTCAATAACAGAAACCCTAGGCTCTGCTCTGTCGTCGTTTCCTACTGCGAGGGCGTCTGCTGTTGATTTCTCAGGAGCTTCGATTAGATTGAGATTTCAAGCTACGGAATTGTAGTTCTTCTATAGGAAGATGCCTCGCTTTCGGAATGTAAGTGTGAAGTTGTTAACGAGAGCGCATGTTTTCTCATTGTTTTGTATTTTGTCTGTCGCAAGTTGAGGAATGGGATTCGTTTTTTCGGTTTGCTGTTTTCTGAATTGTTTGTTGATGCAGAAGAAGAGGAAACCGTTTGTTAAACCGACTATAAAGAAACAACCGATCGTAGACCATGTAACCGGGGACAAGATCCCGAAGAGTTTTGTGTTTTCTCGGGGAAAGTCACCCGACGTTCTTCGAAAATTGCAGATGGATTTAAGAAAATTGATGCTTCCATTCACGGCTCTCAACCTCAAGGTGAGTATTTGTCGCGTGCTTTCTTTCTCCTCCTTCTTCTTCTTCTTCTTTTAATTGTTTGTTTCTCTGGACTGTATTGCTCTCCACATGATTCAATTGATATTAAAAACTTACTATAAATTTGGATTGTTTACCAGTCCTCAGTTGACGCATCTACTTAGATTTAGATTGTGCATTAACCTTTCCCAATGCCTGAATCTGCTTTTATTTGTAGGAAAAAAAGAGGAACAATCTCAAAGATTTTTTGAACGTGGCAGGCCCAATGGGTGTTACACACTTCCTGATTTTATCGAAAACTGATTCTGCGCCGTACTTGAGGGTTGGTAGAACACCACAGGGCCCAACTCTAACCTTCAAAATTCTTGAGTATTCGTTGGTTGCTGATGTTGTCAAGTCTCAATTGCGTCCGAGAAGTCATAAAGATCTTTTTGATAACCCGCCTTTGGTAATGGCTGGTTTATGCCTTCTTCAAATTCTGAGTGTTTTACAAATGTTTGGATTGGCTTTAGCTGCTGCAACTATTCTGTTTAATGCGTTGTTTTAGCCACTTTAATTATTACACTAAATATGAATGCTGAAGTTTGTGAGTTAATTTGTAGATTGTCCTTTCTGGTTTCGGGACTGGGGAGCAGCATCTTAGGCTTACAACTATAATGTTTCAGAACATGTTTCCTGCCATTGATATAACACTGTAAGTCTTGAAACCTAGCGTCAGGAGCTTTGCATGCCTAGTGGACCGCATCATATTGTTGGACTTGTTTCAGGTCAAGCTTTCTTCATGCCAAAGAATTGTGCTGCTAAATTACAACAAAGACACCAAACATATAGATTTCCGGCACTATTCAATCAGATTACAACCGGTTGGGTGTCACGACGAATAAGAAAATTTGTACAGAGCCATCTGGCCCCTGATTTGAGAACTCTTCAGGATGTCTGTGATTATTTAACAAAGTACTCTCTCTAGGCCCTGAGCTCTTTACATTCACACTTGCATGCACCTTAATATTTAGCATAAGAATCACTGGGTCATGGGAGCTATAGTTTTTCATTTTGTTCTGATATCTTTTATCTATGAGACATTATATTGGAAGCCTGTATTACAACGGGTGTATTTCTTGATTAACCTCCATCCTCTCCTGTTTCCAATGAACTAAAATGTAAAATTGTTTATGGGGTTACGATATGCAATCAAGTAGATGTTGAGGTTATTAGTCATGAGCTTGTATTGCTAGCATGTAATTCTCTTCTTAGGCTATCATAAGTAAGGTAGATGTAGTTGGCAAGTCTTTCGGGCCTTAGTATCTTATGAGTCTAATGCTTTATCATTCCTATCGGTATGTTCCATTATGTTCCTAATGTTTTGGTGGCTTCCATAATTTCATATTTTAGGGCTGGTTATGGATCAGAAAGTGAAGTGGACGACGAAGCAGCAGCACTGTAAGTCTACCAATGGATCTTGGAAGAGTTAATAAGGCATCAAGTAAGAGTGCTGTCAAACTTCAAGAAGTTGGACCTAGAATGACACTTCAGTTGGTAAAAGTTGAGGAAGGATTGTGCTGTGGAGGAATCATATTCGATGCATTCGGTAAATACAGTTTTTGCTTTGGCTTAGTTAAAATTCAATTTTTTGAAAGACTAGTTCCTGTTTTCTGTGGATGCATGTTTGGATGACAAGTCAAGTATAAAATCTGCTACTAGCAATTATTATTATACTTGGTGTGTTTGCTAAATAATCTCACCCGACCCAATTCCATTTAGCAAACAATTAACATGCCCCTGTGTGTTTATTCGTGCCCTCGTTATAAATGAAATGTACTAGAAGCCTAGATGGTTCCCTTGGTGTTATAGCTTACCAAGTTTCCCACCCATATCCGGTTTCATTTTCAGTTTAATTGTTTGCATCACACATTATGTCTCAGTTATTCATCTCATTTTTACGGATGTATTTGCATTAAATGAACTCCATTTCACGCACTTTCATCTTATTTTAATTTAGGAAATAATGCACCGAGCAAGAACAAGAAATCGGACGAGAACGACGAAGAAGGAGGTGATGGTCATGAAGAAACAGATCAAGACGAGGAACTAAGTGATGGTAGCGAAGGCAGCGATGAAGATAATGATGAATAGGTGTGAGAAGATTAAGATTAGTGTGTTATAAAGGGAATTGTTGTTAGCTTGCGCTGCCATGCATTGTAAACCGATGACTCTATTTTCTGATTCCTATTATTTTAAATTTAAAATGGCATAATTGGGCTTATGATAGTCTCTGAGAAAAGTAGGGCTGCCCATCGTAGGTTATTAATTAATCATATAATTTAATTATTCGTATATAGAAGCTGAAAAAACTTGGGCTGGGAAGCAAATTATTTTTTGTCCCAATATAATTAAAATTATTAATTTTTGGTCTCAATATAAAAATTCTATCAATTTTGGTTTCAATATAATCAAATTTATCATTTTTTGTTTCAATATAACTAAAATTCATCATTTTTTGTCTCAATATAAAATTTTTATCAATTTTAGTCTCAATATAACAAAGATTCATCATTCTTTGTCTTAGAATAATCAAACCTTATTTTTTTTGGTCTCACCGTCACAAATTGACGAAAAATGCTAACGTGGACTTGCAAGATTGTGTAAATTCTTCGTAAAGTTTGCAACAGACAACAGTTCAACCTGTTGCAAGCCTTCCTGTATATTAAATAATTATATTTGGACCAAAAATAATGATTTTTTGTTATATTGAGACCAAAATTGATAAGATTTTTATATTGGAATCAAATTGATGAATTTTGGTTATACGAGGACCAAAAATAATTTTTTCAAAAAAAAAAAAAAAAAGTTATTGATAATTCAACAGATTTGTTTTGCCCCCATTTAATTTCCTAGTAATATTTGGTAAGTTTTTTTATTTTTATTTGGTAAAGTTAAGATTTAGTTAATTAGTGATGACAATGAAGAATGAGTTGTATTGGCTGAGTTGGTTCAAATTTTTATTTTGTAAGTATATATAGATCCATTTTTGTATCATGGTAGCAACATAATAATTTCAATTTGACTAAAATAAAAAAGTTCATATATACAAAGAAATTTCCATTTATACTTCTCTCAATGTTTTACATTCGTATTTTTTATTTATTTTTATTCCACATAATTTATTTTTTTATTTTTAGAAAATAATTATGTATTTTAATTGCATTTTAAAATTTATAATTTATAATTTTTTTTAAATCTTAATTAAGTTTTTTATTATTTATTTTTTTTAACCTATAGTTACTTGTATTATACAATACTATTTTTATATATACTCCCTCCGTCTCATTGAAAGGTTACCATTTTTCATTTTCGTCCGTCCCAAAACAAGGTTATCATTTCCTAATTTAGTAATTGTACTACCTACCTAATATAATAAATACCCTTCCAACTTACACTATATTACACAAATAACATTATTTTTATATTACACAATACTAATAGGGGTATTTTCGTCTTTTTCATTACAAACCATTATAATACTAATATTAAAAAATTTACGTGCAAAAAGTAAACGACAACCTTGCACCGGAAAAAGTATATATTTTTATATTTACAATATTATTATTATTATTATTATTATATTATTATTTGAAAATCATTCCAATCATATCATATCACATCGTATGTTCCTCATTGTAAGAACATGTAAACTGAATTGTCATTGCAAAGACAAACTACATCTAGTCTACAAGATTTAATAGTATTTTGTTTGTGAAATTAAATTAATTGTCACATTCAGCATTAAGTTATTGTCCTCGTAAAATTTGTGTTCCTTTCATATATATATATATATGGACAAAAAAAATCGATATCTGTATATGTAATGTATATAGAGAGGAAGCCCTTTGCCTTCTTCAGAGACAACTTCATACTTATTTTCGATTTCAAAATATGTTGTCATGTGTATAACAAAGGACCACTTCATAATATAACAAAAATTATATCTTCAAATCTCATAAAATATATTTTTATAAAAAAGTATTGTAAAAGAAATGAAAACAAATTCAAGTAGAAATAGTAAGGAAGGTACGGATGCATGCTTTGCTTGGAAGTGCCATAAACATAGGAATGTCAAATGGGGCGGGTTAGCCCGGACCCGTCCCGGACTCGGTCTTAATGGGAAGGATTCGGGTCTAAAAAATTTGGTTTGGGGCGGATTGTGGATTTTGAATTTTAAACCTGGACGATTCGGAGCGGATTACGGGTTTTACTATAAAACCGGTCCACCCCGGACCCGGACCCGAATCCGGATATTTTAAATATTATAATTTATTTATATTTTTATATAATATAAATTATATTATTTATTTATTTATTACATACAACAAAAGAATTTTTATTTTTTTTTAAAAAAATTGCAAATTAAATAGTTATATTTATATTATACTAAAAATAAATTTATATTAAAATATTATTTTTTTATTTTATTATATCAACGACTATTTAAATTTTATTTATTTATTATTCAAACACAAATATAAACTCCGTACTTTCAAGCAATACAACCCAATAAATTCTATAAGAAATGACCTAATAATGTGAATATTGAATTGTAACTATGAGGTTACATATTTAAATTTCATCCACAACCACTTAAAATAATCTAAATTCCCAAGTTATTTAAATAATAATAATAATAAAATATATATTTTTCAACTCATATTATTGCTTAAAAAAATTGTAAAGAACTTCATTATATGTTCCCATAAGCAACATATATATATATATACTAGTACTCATGTGAGTGCGGTTAAGCCGCAAGTTTTTGCTATATGGTAGAATATTTTTTGTAATTTTTTTTATATAAATATGTTGTATGAGTTCATGCGGTGCATATTTTACATTTTTAATTTCTTGAAAAAAAAAGATAATATAAATATATTTTAGAAAAAAAAATTGACCGATTTAGTTTTACGAAAAGAGGAAGAGACCGACAGAAGGATAAAACGGCCGATACGGAGGTCGGGCAAAGAAAGGTATGTTAATTGGTCGCCCATTTAAGTGAATAATAGTTCAGTCGCTTGATTGGGGTGACCAATGAATCGCCTGGACGAATGGTTGTTCGGCATTTGAAGGGACCGTATGGTGGTCGCTTGTTTAGGCGACCAATTAATCATTTGGACGAATGGTTGTTCAGCCGATTGAAGGGACCAGATGGTGGTCGCTTGATTGGGCGACCAATGAGTCGTTTGGTCTAGAAAGATGATAAATAAATTATATAAATATATACTTTTTTATTTGTGTAACCAACCAATTTTAAAAAATATATTATTTTCTTTAGATGATGTTTTTTTTTATTTTATTAAAAAAATTATTCTCTACAAGATCATATATATACTGAATTGGTCGGATGACAAGGAGAAGAACCGTCTAGTAGGTATATTAAAAAATTATTCTCTACAAGATCATATATAAAAAAAATTTTAATTTAAATTTAAATTATATTAATTAGTTTTCTCAACCTTAATTTATAATTATTTTAACTAATACATTTTTAATTATTTACTAATCATACCTCTCGTAAATTTTTGTGTCTACAATAATCTTGACATTATACGCGGACGGGGAATATTATTATTATTATCACAAAATATTACCTACAAATAATTATTCAAACCAAAATTCAAAATTTAAATATAAAACAAATCCATGTATTTGATTTATTTTTTTTCCTATATGGCAATAATTTTGTCAATGTGTATGTTTCTCAAATATTATTTGTACTAGTATTGTAAAATAGTAAGGTTCTTTTTACATACATATTTTAGAAAATTTTGAGAATATCTATCAATAAAAATTATTTTTTTTAAAAAAAAAAATCACATCAAATGCATATTTTTCAGTAACAAGACACATTAAATGGCCAATCTTTATTATTTTCACAAATTTTCCAAATTCCAATTTCAAAACCTTCTATATAAACAGAGTCTAAAAATACTATGCATCTTGCATGTATTCATTTTGTGTTTTTAAATGAATGTTTGTGAGCATAGTTGTGTTAGGTGAAAAGAATCATTATAATTATGTAAATTTAAGAAAAATCATTCAAATAGCCTAATGATACTTTAGCATATGACACTCCAAAATAAACTAGATATGTTAAGTTATAGATTCAGTTAATTGAAGGGCTTGTCTCACATATTATTGTATCAAATTGTAAAGTTAACATTGATATTGTCAATAGTCACATCAAGTATTGAAATATATAGAAATTCTCATACTGAATGTACAAAATTCAACACACTGAAGACTAATCCTCATCCTTTATTGCAAAATAATATTTTAATTAACTTAATTATCCTTGATTAATTAATGGTCATGATTAAGCACACGCTGAATTAAAAATATACCTTAGTGATCCAAATGCATAGAATTATACTTTTTGCCAATGAATATTATGGAAATCATTTAATAAAATCCGTGACCAAGTTTTAAATGATTTGATACAAAAAACTCAAGAAACAGAATATAGCACAAATAAAACGGAAAGGTAAGAACAGAGCACAAAACGGGTATGTGGAATTAATCCTTTTTCATTGATTGAATGGAAGAGAGAAAACATAGATTAT